AAAAAATCTAAATAGAGAAATTTCAACAGCAGAATCTCAAATGTCTAAAAGTCACTTAAGGAAATGTTCAACATTCTTAGTAATCATGAAAATGTAAGTCAAAGTGACTCTGAGATAGCATCTTACAATAGTCAAAATGGCTAAGATTAAAAGCACCAATGATAACTTATGTTCCTACATGACTTTGAGGTAAGAATGCCCCTAAATATCTGTTTTGACCTTGTGATACTGTTTCAGAAGTAGATTTGTTAACTGAGCATTCTTTAAAAAGTAGAAGATACATGAGCATATTCAGACTCCCTAATAAAATCCCCATGCTTCCTTTGTTGAGGAAAACCACTGTTTTGAAAATAACTCCCATGCACTTTGTGTCTCCTGCAGGCAAGTATTTCTTATTTCTTCTCTCTTGACTGTTGAGATGTTGATTTTGGGTAGTCATACTACCTCTGGGATTACCTAAAAATTGATTATACCTGAGAGAGATTTAACTTAAATCTTAAAGGGTTTTAAATGGGAAAAACCTCCATTAATCTGTATAATTTGAGATGATATGACCACCTTTAACTGCTTGGTGGCAGTGCACACTTTTAACACCATGACAATCATCTTATTTTGTTACCTTAAAATTCTCTTTAGCTGTTCTGGACATCTTTTTCCCTCTGAGACAGGGAATCACTCCACCCACCTAGCACAGCACAGTGCACAGTACAAGCCAGCTAGCCACAAAGTGTCCTGGAGGAAAAAGGGAAAGTTCCTACGGAGTGCAAGATTGTGACCTTGTCTGCTTTTGTAGCCAAGGGCAAGAGCTATGGAAATGCTTACCTTGGCCTGTCTAGAAAAGATCTCCTAATGGGGTAGAAGAAATGGTCAGGAACTACTCTGATGAGTTTTTAAGCACACTATAGCCTTGTGGACAGTGTGCTTGTCACTCAGACTGCACCAGCCAATCAGGCCCTCCAGGTGACCTGCCAGTCATAAGGAGTGGAGGGCTCTTCCGGGCAGCCTCGTTCAGATTTGGCTTTGCAGAGGCTCTGTTTTCAGTGGTTCCCTGTGCTGTGTTGAAGTTGCTGCTGTAGGGAGTTGATGAACTGAGACATTTGGCGAGCTGAGAAACCACAACATGGTGAGCGAGGGAATGCTGTCTCCAGATTGGGAGGAGCAGAGGGTGAGGGGCGGGAGACAGCATGGTGCGTCCTCCCGGGATCCGTGTGGGAACCTGCCGCCAGATTCCCTGTGTTGTGAAGTCCCACGTGGTCCTGTTTATTCCTAGACCTAGGGACAGAACTCTGAATAAATTTGTGCAGTGGCCTTAATCTGCTTAGAGAATTGGGAGCAGGGTGCTGTGTGTACAAACATTTTTCTTGTCAACTTTAATATGCCATACTCAGAGAGGCCTAGTTTCTCCAGTATCTTCCTGAAATTGACCACTTTGCATTTAACCTTTACATACAATCTCCATTTGTGTTTAACTATGTGGACGGTATCAAGGCAGCTCGCCTGTTGGGTAGCGCTGCACTTCTAAGCTGCAACGTAGAAGAGTTGAATTGCTGATAAAGGATTTGCCAATGCCTTGGCAATAGTTCAGTCTCACAAAGTAGAATTAGCTGAGGGAGGGCTGCCTCTAAATCACCCAGAAGATAAATGTGTTTTAATCAGGGCTGTTAGAGCTTAGGATGCTAGGGTATGCATTGTTCAACCGAATTGTCCAGATATTTAGCTCCAAACTACTACAGAGAAGCCACCACTGATTTAAAACCAGACACCAGGCACATCCCCATACCAAAAAACAATCTCTAACAAGCTTTTAAAGAAGGCTTTACAGGTTTCTAACCTACTTTGAGGCTTGATGTGGTTTAAAGTTCCAGTTTTCTTTTTCTTTTTTTTCTTTTTTTGGTTTTTCGAGACAGGGTGTCTCCGTGGCTTTGGAGCCTGTCCTGGCACTAGCTCTGTAGACCAGGCTGGTCTCGAACTCACAGAGATCCTCCTGCCTCTGCCTCCCGAGTGCTGGGATTAAAGGCGTGCACCACCATCGCCCGGCTTGTTTTTGTTTTTGAGACCTGTTTTTGGCCTACTCTTTATTTGAGAGAGCAACACTTCTGAAGACTATCTTTGCCCTTTGTCTTGGCCTGCTCTTTTGGTCTGCTCTCCTGGGTCGCTCTCTTTGTCCGGTCTGTGCAGTTCATTGAAGGAAGAACCTCCCAGAAAAGATCGTGTTTCTCTCCTTGGTGGCCTTTCAATTTCCTATGAACCTTCAGTAAAAAAAGGCTTTTCAAGATGAAATTCCTCATTGTATGTGATGAGTCTCAATATCCTTAACTAATTTTCTGACTTTTGTGTCTCCTGTGTTGTGGTTGGAATTAATCAGCCAACTTCCCACTTACACTGAAATGCTTTTATCATCGTTATAGGCTTGATCTGTAAATCACAGAAAATATAGAAGAAACAGTTGCTGTTCAGGGCTAAGGAGTTTTGTAGCCTGTAGTTTTAATTGTTTTGTTTGCTTGTCTGAATAACCTTTGATGTGTGGCTCCAAATTCCTCAAAGTAAAGTGAGGGGGGCTTCATTCATGGCTTTATTTGTTTTTCTGTTGTTGGATGATGACCCTGTAATGTAGGCTTTTTATTTGTCAAGCACATGCTGCTGTGCTCAGCTTCACACATAGCTTGAATTTTAAATTTGACAGAGGGTTTCATTCTGATTCCCAGGATGCCATGTATTCATGGCATTAATACTGCCTGAGCATTCTGAGTCATTGAATTGCAGGTGCATGAACTTCCTTCTGCGTGTTTAGCTTGCTTTGAATTTTTTACTCAATTTGACTATTTTATCTGTCTGCATGGCTATGCACCATATGGGTACTCGGTCATCAGAGTGATCAAAGCTTCTCAGAAATCCTGAACTTAGAATAATAAATAGTTGTGATCCCCATGTAAGTACTGGCATTTGTGCCCACCTCTTTTCAAGACCAGGAAGAGCTCAGTAGTACTCAGCCATATTTCCAGACCTGTGTTAATTTCTTATGACCAACATTTATATTGCTAATGTTTTAAATCTGTCCATTTGTAATTATTTTAAACATGAAGTACCTTTTCATAAAATGTTTTTGGTATTGTAGTATAAAATAGGACAATTTAGCTGTCTGGAATATGAATATAGAACTGGGGGCTGGAGAGATGGCTCAGTGGTTCAGAGCATTGCCTGCTCTTCCAAAGGTCCTGAGTTCAGTTCCCAGCAACCACCATCTGTAATGATGTCTGGTGCCCTCTTCTGGCCTGCAGACATACACACAGACAGAATATTGTATAGATAATAAATAAAAAATATTTAAAAAAATGAATACAGAACTGGAGTGAATGCATAATTCTTTGTAGGATCTTCAGTAAACATCTCTGAATTCTTTCTATCTGATTTGTTTGTTTCAGTGATTTTTGCTATGGAGACAGGGGCTTAATGTGTACTTCCACCTGTCATGGACTGATTCTATAGATTTGGCTGGCATTCAATTCAGAGACAAATATACACAGCTGTGCTTTCTGAGTGCTGTGCTTAAAGGCATGAGTCAATACACACAGTTTGTCCACTGGATTTTTCTATTTTGTAATTAGTATTTCTTCATACAATTTTCTCAGTCTACTATGTCCTGTTGATCTGTTTCCTTGGCTGTCTCTATTAATAGATAGTTCTGCTGTAAGGTGGCATCCCATTCAAAGGGTACAGAAATGACAGAGGTGACTCTCATTCAGTTTCCTTCATGCCTGTCTGTGTCATGAAATATTAGTGTTGAACGCCAGAATTTTATGACTATACTGTCAGAGATGTATACATTTACAGTATTGTCACCATCATGCTTCTATTATACACATGAATGAAATATTTTAGACGGCAGTGACCTATGATGATGTGCATATCAGCTTCACTCGGGAAGAGTGGAATTTGCTGGATCCTTCCCAGAAGAATCTCTACAAAGATGTGATGCTGGAGACCTACGGGAACCTTGCTACTATAGGTAAAAGTAAATTTCCTTCATGATTCAAAATAAGCGGGACAGCCGGGCGTGGTGGCGCATGCCTTTAATCCCAGCACTCAGTAGGCAGAGGCAGGTGGATCTCTGTGAGTTCGAGACCAGCCTGGTCTACAGAGCTAGTTCCAGGAGAGGCTCCAAAGTCACAGAGAAACCCTGTCTCAAAAAAAAAAAATAAATAAGGGGGACAACTTTTTCTTGGTTAATGATGGTCTTCTGTAATTTGATTTAAAAATAATAAGAATGAGTTGAATAAAGCAGTCATAGTTCTAAGGGTCCCTAAAGATAACACCTTAACTACTGCACAATTTTCAATAATATAACATACATTTTTCTGGTATTATATTTTAGGATGCATTTGGGAAGACCATAATACTAAAGAACACTGTCCATTTTCTAGAAGAAATGAGAGGTAATTTTCATGTGCAAGCTGATAACAATGTGCCTCTGATGAAACTTTTGTGTCCTGAAAGTTTTGGTCTAAAGCAAACTACATAAGCACAGTTTTCAGTGCACTAATGGTTATCAGATTTTTACAAATCCATATTTCATATATGTGAGTTGCATTTGAATGACATTCTTTTGAGAAAGAAGTCAAGAAAGCAATGGCTAGAAAGGTATCACCTTTTGAGGCATAGTACCATGAGAGCTTTGTTGTAGATCTGCAAATAAATTTCTTTCTTGCTACTCAAAATACAAAAGGTATATGAAGAGATGATAAGTATATCTGCAAAACTTTGTACTAAACCAAGAGCCCATAGTAAATCTTGTATTACTCATACACTTCTTGTGACTGTGATAAGTTTAGTGAGAGAAGCAGTTAGAGTTGAGTCAAGTGGCAGTTGGTCTGTAGAAACCTTGATATCTGTACCACAAATCTGTGAGGAACAAGAAAATGCTGAGAATTCAATGTGGAAATCTTTTATTTCTTATTCTTCTTTACTATGTATATCATAAGTTATTCTTGATATCACTTGATATAACTTGATATAGCATACGGATATAGACAGATATAATATACCACTCTCTAAGAACAATTAGATAACCAGTAGTCCCCAAGTTGAGTAAATTTGTAGAATTTGATTCAAGTATACAAATACTTGGTTTTCCACCATCATTGTTAATACATGAACAAACTCAGACTGCAAAAAAGCTCTATGAGTTCTAGAACTGTGCAAATAATTCTGGGTGGCCTAGTTCACATAGCAAATGTAATATGGTTCACAGTATAGGAGAATTCATGAATGTTAAAGCTCTGAGTTTATCTAGTCCTCTTCACATATATATAAAATGTCATATAGAAAAAGTTTCTGTGAAGGTAAAAAGGTAAGCCATACAAGAAAGGAATTGACCATTGGAGGTATCTTCCAATTTGCAAAACAGTGCCTAATTAAAGAGCAAAACATGAATTTAGACACAGTTATAAAAACTTAGTATCTGATTCCTCTTTATAATTGGAACATATTATACAATTAATTCATACAAATGTATAGGCACAACAGTGTATTAAATGTGGTAAAGCTTTTAAATGTGTCAATTATTCTTGCAGGATTGAAAAAATTCAAACTGGAGAGAAACTTTCAATATATATTCAAAGTGGTAAACTCTTGACATATGACAGTCACCTAAAAGGGAATGAAAGAACACATACTGGAGAGAAGCCTTATAAATGTAATCAATGTGGTAAGGCCTTTGCAGCTCAGAGTTATGTTCAAAAGCATAAAAGAACACATACTGGAGAGAAACCCTATGAATGTAATCAGTGTGGTAAGGCCTTTGCACAGAATGCTGCTCTTCAAGGCCATAAAAGAACACACACTGGAGAAAAACCATATGAGTGTAATCAGTGTGGTAAGACCTTTGCACATTATAGTAATCTTCAAACGCATAAAAGAACACATAGTGGAGAGAAACCATATGGTTGTGATCAGTGTGGAAAGGCCTTTACAACTCAGAATAATCTTCAAAAGCATAAAAGAGCACATACTGGAGAGAAACCCTATAAATGTAATCAGTGTGGTAAGGCTTTTTCAGTTCATAGTATTCTTCAAACCCATAAAAGAATACATACTGGAGAGAAACCCTATGGATGTAATCATTGTGGTAAGGCCTTTTCACAGTATTGTGCTCTTCAGTGCCATAAAAGAACACACACTGGAGAAAAACCATATGAGTGTAATCAGTGTGGTAAGGCCTTTGCAACGCACAATAATCTTCAAGACCATAAAAAAACACATACTGGAGAGAAACACTATGAATGTAATCAGTGTGGGAAGGCCTTTGCACAGTCCAGTGGTCTTCAACATCATAAAAGAACACATACAGGAGAGAAGCCCTATGAATGTAATCAGTGTGGGAAGGCCTTTGCAGTGAACAGTACTCTTCAAGTGCATAAAAGAACACACACTGGAGAGAAACCATATGAATGTAATGAGTGTGGTAAGGCCTTTGCATCTTCTGGTAATCTTCAAGTGCATAAAAGATCTCACCATAGATAGAACTTCTTTGAATGTAATCAGTGAGGTATGAACTTGCACAGCACAGTGATCTTCAAATGCATAAAAGAACAGAGAAACCCCATGGATGTATTCAGTGTGGTAAAGCCTTTGAAGATCACAGTAATCTTCAAAGGCTTAAAAACAGTATGAATGAAGTCAGTGTGATAAAGCCTTTCATGTCTTATTCATCTTCAAGTGCATAAATGTACACATATAAGAGAAAAACCATGGATAGAATCTATGCGGTAAATCCTTTGTCACAATAATTTACAAATACATTAAATAAACCATCGAGTAAGGAAACTATAAATTTAATAAATGTAGTCTTCAAAAACATGACAAAAATTATACTGCAGTAAAAGTCTATTTATGAAGACCTATGGGCAGGAGAAAGAGCCAGTCCAAGAATCACACCCTATTACTGAAATGAGATCCAAAGGAAAACGCGTTGTCCCTGAATCTATAGCTAGTTATAGAGACAACCTCACCCTGAAGATAGAGCTAAAAGCCAGTGAAGGAAACACACTTTGGCTCTCAAACCAGAGCCAAAGAAACACACTCTACCCTTCTTCAACTGAGCACAAAACCAACCAATATCTGAATACAAAATCCAGCCCGTGTCTCAGCTTGTTCAACTCAGGGATTGAGATCTGACCAGTTTCCACCTTCAAAATCTCCTTGGAAGAAATCTGGTTGTAAGAAGCCCTGTATGTGCCATATGCTCATTCAGTTGGCAGCTGCCCCTTTTCCACCGTGGCAGAGGCAGTCACTCTCTTCCCTCCCAAATAAATCTCTTGATTGAGATTTCTGTGAAGACCTTCTTGCACTGGAATGGATCAGAAACTCCCTAGTGGAGTTAATTGAGACATAATTGATACTTCTACTTGGAAACTCATTTAGCCCAGAGGAGCACGAAGCAATGGACACCTCTTTTGAAGCACTCCATTAGGGGAGTGGAGCAGGTCAGTAACAGACATTTCGGCTGGGAAACTCTCGTAGAAGAATGGGGCGGATCCCAGCTGTGATGGCTCTCTCTGTCGGAGAGGAACATTATTGCCTCATCTAGCATGGCGCCCTTCTCTTCACAACTGTAGGTGTTTCCTGACTTCAGGCAGTAAGGGTACCTTTCCCTCTTGCACTATGAATTTGAATGATAATGAAACCCTGTTAGATTTTATACTTCTCTTCAATTGCAAGGCATAAGTAATTCAGGTATAATATTTAAGGATGTGTACTCACCTCTTTTGTTGTGATATCATCTTTATTTCAAATTATAAATGCATTTTATTTGGCCCTTGGATCTCGAAGATAAAAGGATCACCATGAAAGTTCCATGACAAAAATTGTCAGACATGGCACCTGAAGCAGGAGCTTAAGAACTCACATCCTTAATCTCCCGCATGAAGCAGAGAGTGGGAACTGGAACTGGTGTACGGATGTAAATTCTCATAGTCTACTCTCAGTGACGTATTTCCTTCAGCAGGACAGCATGTGTTAAATCTTCCTAAATGATACCACCAACTTAGAAGGACTAATTTCTCTTACTTCAAGCTGAGACTTGCTTTCTCATTCATGAACTAATTCTTGAGGAAAAACTGTAAGTGAGCTGTAAAATGCCCCAACTCCTCATTTAGAGTAATGAATGCTTACAGGAGAAATATGTTCATGAGTGAAAAACTGATTAAAAAGTTGTTTTAATTGTAATTATGTGGTGGTGTGTGTGTGTCTATTTGAATGTGCAATCTGTATCTTGAGAAAACACTTCTTGTAGCAGGAATTACAGGAAGCTGTTAAAAATTTGATCTTAGTCATGGGAACGAACATTTCTTAGTCACCTCGCCATGACTCTAGTGCTATATATGTTTTAAATTCTACTTGGGTCACTTTTCAGTCTGCAATAGGAACAAACTCGTAAAGAAGACATTCCTATTCATGAAAAAATCTTGTTAATAACATTAAACATCACAGATTTCTTTAGCTTCAAGAATAATTATTTTTCATCATAGCATTTAAGGAAGTAAATTATATACCATATTCAGTCAAGTCTGAAGGAGATTATTGTATTGTGGTTTCTATTTTAAAATATTTGAGGGAGTCACTAAAGTGTGCTGTATGCAAATCCATTTAGTGAAGTTTATTTTGTAGATCTTGTATTTCTTCTATGACTTTTGTTCATCTTCTATTCTGTCTGTACCTAGTGATAGGTATTTTTCTACTGTAATGTATATAATGAAGCCTTCATATACCCATTGGTTATTGAAATATCAGGCCATGTTTGATCATGCTTTACACATAAGGGTGGTGGTTTGTTTTCTGGTTTTGATTTTTATCTTTTCACAAATTCCCTTGAGATTTTGTTATTTGTTATTCGTCCTACCTTGAATGTCAGTAATGATTTAGGGATACATTTGAACTCATGATGCTCGTTTGTCTTACTCTTGAGTACAAGTCCAAGGGTAGATGATGAACTTCCAATGTGTTGTGTTTTCAAGAGAATTTAACAATGTAAATGTTAAAATGACTAATAAAAGAGATTATAAGAAACATTAAATAATTCATGTATGTATTCAAAGATTTTCATTTATATGATACGGATGTAATAATGTATGAGAATCAGCAAACAACTGTGTATCTAATACCACAGCTTGATGTTCTATAGAAATTGAGGATAGGGAGCTGTAGAGATGGCTCAGTCAAACTCTAAGAAATCACTGGCCAGGGGCTGGGGGGGATGGCTCAGAGGTTAAGAGCATTGCCTGCTCTTCCAAAGGTCCTGAGTTCAATTCCCAGCAACCACATGGTGGCTCACAACCATCTGAAATGAGATCTGATGCCCTCTTCTGGCCTGCAGGCAGACACACAGACANGGGTGTCAGGCCCAGGCTGTGTCCGTGGGGACGTCGAGCCTGAAGCCGGTTGTGATCGCAGGTGCCCGCGGACGTCGCGGAGGACCGGCCCTCGGCCGCCGAGGAGCTGGCGGCGCAGAAACGCGAGCAGAGACTGCGCAAGTTCCGCGAGCTGCATCTGAAGCGGGTGAGTGGCGGGGACACGGGCTGGAGGAGGAAGGCGCAGTAGCTCTCCAGGCCCCAGGGCGGGGCGTCCCGGGACCGGAAGATCTCGGTGGAGGACGTGGATTCGCGTGGAGGTCGCTTTAACACACGTCAAAGCCACACCCGCTCGCTCCTCCCAGGGCCCACCCACACGATTTAGTTTATCTAGGGTAGGTTTGCTCTTTTCCTAACAACCCCCTTGCTTGCCATGATCCAATCAAATAATTCATTTTTCATCTAGGGAAATATTTAGCTAGAAATACGAAGAAACTTCTTAGTAAGAGTTTCCTCACCTTAAAAGCAACGAACAAGCCGGGCGGTGGTGGCGCACGCCTTTAATCTTAGCACTTGGGAGGCAGAGGCAGGAGGATCTCTGTGAGTTGAGACCAGCCTGGTCTACAAGAGCTAGTTCCAGGACAGGCTCCAAAACCACAGAGAAACCCTGTCTCGAAAATCCAAAAAAAAAAAAAAATACTAACTGTTCTTCTAGAAGACCCAAGTTCAATTGTCAGCACCCACATGGAAACTCACAACTGTATTTAGCTCCAGTTCTAGGGGGCATGACACCATCACACAGACACATGCACATGTAGCACAAATGCACATAAAATAAAAATAAATCAACTGAATAAACGCACATGTAGCACAAATGCACATAAAATAAAAATAAATCAACTGAATAAACATACTGAATGAAATTCAACATCACTTGCTACATGGAAGTATCTTATTCTAGTATCATCTCAACTAAAGTGATTTTTAGAAGTACGTGTGTATGCTTTAGTTGCTAAAGCTGAAGATAAAATTAGAACCAGATTTGACCATAGGAGGTACCAAAGATCTTCCGATCAGATTTTAGGGCGTGTTTCTCTCAGATATCCAAATAATTCAGCAATAAGAGTTGTCTCAATTTCCCCTTTACAGCCGGGTGGTGGTGGCCTTTCTTTGCTCATTCCCAGAAGACTCTTTTGTCCTATGTTCGGATGCTCAGGCTCTGTGTTTGGCCTTGTCTGTAAACGGTCCTCTCATCCTGCCTCCACTTTCATCTCTCTCCGTGTGCTTAGTCAAGGTCAGATCTCTTGTTCTGCCCTAACTTCCATTTAGCACCCCCCCCCCACTTGGCTGCCTCCTCGCACTTGGGATCTGGTTCTCAAGTGCCTTTATGTCCTGCCCCAACTTCCGTTTTCCCCCTCCTGCTTGTTCACAGACAGGACTCTCAGGCACCCCATAAGCCCAGCAGATGGTCTCTGGCATGACTCTGATGCGCCCTGTCCCCTAAGCCGCAGCATAGGCCAGACACTCAGCCTTGTCAGCCGCGGCTCTGGCATGAATAACAAGGACTCAAAACTTAAGTTTTATGTGCATGTGTGCTTCCAAATTATAACAGCTCTAAAAACATAGCTTATATACCCAGTTTCAAATACCAGGTAATGGTGCCTGGCTCTCAAGTGTCTTTAGAGATCTGAGATTATGGCATTTGAACAACAAGAGCTTCTCACACATAGACATGCCAGATTTTGCAGCACCCTATGGCTTCTTCAAGAAGACAGAAGACCTGCTGTCTCCGGACTTGCTCAGGGTGTGGCAAAATCACCCATACAGAAGCAAAAAAGAGGCCTTTTACTACTCCAGTCTCCTGGATGCTTCACCCAGGGAATCGATCCCCTCATCTTGGCAAGACAGACTAAATCTTCTCCCTCGCAGGAAAATCTTTGGGCCTCCACACACAGCAGCTAATAGCAAGCACTGCTTCTAAGACTGATGTTCTCCGAGGACAAGGAGAGGATTTGGGATTGCCTGCTAGCAAAAAGCTGTCTCATTTTTGCTCATTGATTCCTCCCAGATTTGTCTACAGGCATTTGACAACTCAACGTACTCCTCTTTAACAGGCTTCAGAGTCCAGGTTTAACAGGTGTCAATCTTCAGAGGGTCATAGTTCCCAATTTCCTTTAATTGCCTTCTAACTGGAAGCACTAGCCTGTTGCTATTACACCAAGACATAAAATCTGTTCCAGTTCTCTTACAGGTTCCTGGAAAGGTTCTATTGCTACATCAGAACAATATCTGGTAAAATCCAGGGTTTTTAAATTTTAATTGTTTTACTGTTACACTAACCCCAGCCAGTTTTTTTAAAAATATTTATTTATTTATTATGTAAACAATATTCTGTCTGTGTGTATGTCTGCAGGCCAGAAGAGGGCACCAGACCTTTTTACGGATGGTTGTGAGCCACCATGTGGTTGCCGGGAATTGAACTCAGGACCTTTGGAAGAGCAAGCAATGCTCTTAACCCATCTCTCCAGCCCCCCACCCAGTTTTTTTTTTTAATTTTTTTTTTAGTTTTTCGAGACAGGGTTTCTCTGTAGCTTTGGAGCCTGTCCTGGCACTAGCTCTTGTAGACCAGGCTGGCCTCGAACTCCCAGAGATCCGCCTGCCTCTGCCTCCCGAGTGCTGGGATTAAAGGCGTGCGCCACCACTGCCCGGCCTACACTAACCCCAGCCAGTTTTAAGCATATTTTGTAGGTAATTCCTGCTACCTAACTAGAGACCAACCTACAGGGCATTTCTGAGGGCAATGCTAAAAGCAACTATACCAGATCCTAGGACTTTACCCTTGGTACGAGCTTTCTTAGATCAAGGACACCTGCCAGTTCTTCTGGATTAAGAACACCGGCCAACTAAAATCTGGTTTCACCTGCTCTTGTGTCAAATCCCATGGATAGCTCCATTTTATAGGGCCAGGAATAACAATATTTTTTTTTCTCCTAGACACTTGCCTTCTTAGCTCCCTCAAGAAGCAGGTGCCTGTCATTTCCGGGATGATAGTGAAGAGAATCCCTTTCTACACCCATCAGCTTTCGACTCTGCCCCTCCCATGTCATCCCATGCCCACAGGAATTAGCCAGACTTGAGTTTACACCCTTTTTTCCAAAGAGATCCTAAATTATCATCTCAACTTCCTGTAACCCCAATATCCAAAGAGTCTGGAATGGTTAAGTTGGGAGCATCAGCCTAGCCCCTGGCATCCAACACAGACCACAGCCTGGGAGTTTCATTGGTTTGGACTCCAAATCCCAGCATGCCAGGTCCTGAACTCTCCTAAAGGGAGGGTCAAGACCACTCCAACAGGGTATGTAAGTGGGCTTCTGGAGGAGGAACCCATAGTCCCAGGTTTGCATGTGCACCCAGGTTTTCTGTCTCAGCCACCCAAGAGTGCTATGCTTAATAAAACATGGGCATTTTAATTGGTTTAATTATATTTACAATATTTAGTCAACTTACATTTGGCAAATTAATGTATATCATCTATCCTACCTTTGTGAGTCTCAGCTTTTATATCTAATTTACACACACCATAACTAAAGAAAACTATATAGTTTTGAAGTCAATCAAAGAACCCAGAAGGACATAATGTTATCCTGGAAAGTCTGTGGCAACAAAAGCAGAATCTTCAATTTTCTGTTGCAAAATATGTATGGATTATTTTTAATCAGATGTCATAAATCAGTTTGCCTTAGCATGAGGAGTTATATTATTCAGCTACATAATTAAGCAAAGTTCCGTATTTCAGATATTCATTTATTACTATCACTTTGGATAATTCACCCATGATCTTCTGTGTAGCAAGGATTTTTTAACTGCTTTTTTTAACTATATATTTTCCTACTATCCTGTCCTCTCCACTCCCCTTTTGATAACCAATTTCTTTTTAGTTCTTTATATGTTTTGGAGATCAGTCCTCTGTCCAGTGGTGGGGGGTAGGTGAAGATCTTTTCCTATACTACAGGCTGCCTTTTTTGTATTATTGATCATGTCCTTTGGTTCACAGAAATTCCTCAGTATCAGAAGGTCCCATTTATTAATTATTACTCTCCGTGTTTTTGCTGCTGGGGTTATATTTAGAAAATGGTCTCCTGTGCAAATGAGCTCAAATATACTTCCCACATTCTCTTTTTCTGTGATTCACTGTGGTTGGTTTTATGCTGTGGGTTTTTTGCTTTTCTATATGAAGGTGAGTATTTTTTTAAGGTCTGTGAAAAGTTTTGCTGAGATTTACATGGGAATGGTATTGAACCAGTTGATTGCTTTGGAAAGATTATCATTCATACTATATTAATTTCAACCTCCCAAAAAAACATGGGAGATCTTCCAGTTCTCTGGTTTCTCCTTCAATTTCTTTCTTCTAAAGTGTAAAATTCTTGCCGGGCGGTGGTGGCGCACGCCTTTAATCCCAGCACTCGGGAGGCAGAGGCAGGCGGATCTCTGAGTTCGAGACCAGCCTGGTCTACCAA